TATCCACCACCAGGATTGCCACCAGGGTATCCACCACCAGGATTGCCGCCAGGGAAACCACCACCAGGGTTACCACCAGGGTATCCACCACCAGGTCCACTAGGAAGACCCCCTGATGTTCCACCAGGTAGCTCACGATCAAGACCGTCACCTCCGCCACGCCCTCCGCCACGAGCGCCGCCGGACGACGACCCCTGAAGCTGAGCAGCCTTGTCCTTGGTTGGTCTTCACCCCCTGGGCCAAACACCTGGTCAGCTTTTCCCCTATGATGTTCTTGTCCCGAACCTCCATCACGACCGACGGCGCCACCCTTGGAGCCCACCGAGTCATAGCCCTTTTGAGCTTCCTCCTGGACCACCTGAGAACCCCCAGGTCCTCCTGAAGTACCACCACCCATCCACGATCGAGGAGCTTCCAACACGCCCGGGAACAGCGAAGAGACCACACCACCAGCGGTCGCTGATGACACCCTGTTGAAAACGTCCATCAAACTCGCCCTAGGCACTGATGGTTGTTGTTGAGGAACACCATAATCGGGTAAAAGGGATTCATGACCTCAAAGACCTCCTTGATCTCCGTTGCCCAGCGCCCCCAACAAGCCCTTGTCCTTTGGAACACCTGGTGACCCAACAGACATCTTCACCGCTTCAAACATAGACCCAACAAAACTTCGATCTCTTGCGAGCCCTTCGACAGCGCCCATCGGCCATGGCTGAGGATGGCACCACTGGTCCTGAGAAAAATTCATGCGGCCGTGGTGTTGTGCATGCATCCAAGCGTCTCGCTCACTCCATAGCCTGGCATTTTCTGCCACCAGACCTTGGATCACCGCTCTGACTGCCTCCGATCCATCTTTCGGAGGGCTCACCGCAGACGGCTCAGTCGAAAGAAGCTCTGGCGACTCAGGCAAATCAGCTGGCCTGAGAGCACGAAGTATCGCCTCGTCTCGCATCTCTTCCGACCAAAAAGGGTTCCAATTGGCCGGACTGAGGACCACCGGTGGACCCGATGGCAGAGCCACCACCCCCTCTCAAGGAGGCACATCCTCAATGGCTCTCATGCCATTGGACTCAGGGGTTTTTTCTGACCCCACACCTTCGCTCATGGCGTCAAAGGCCGAACCCAAAAAGGCGCTGTGGTTAGCGCCTTGGGCTCATAACCCTCAAAAGCGGAAGACGCTCTTTGTCTTTTTCCAGCAAAGAAAAGGGCTTCAGATGTGCATCAACCGTGAACCCTTCAAGCTCACAACCACAACGAAAAGCATGTGCTGGCGTTTCGACTATAAGCTCTTGCTTACCTCGTAGCTACCTTTCGTTCACCCCCTCCTCTCTCAAGCCACAACAGTGAGACTCCGACAAACTGGAAGACATGCCGGCTGCGTGCTATTCCTCGCCCTAATTCTTGCTTGTTTGAATCTTAGAATCTAGTCATGGTTTTGTTCCATAGAACAGCGATTATCTGGGCAAGTCAGGACAGATTGGAGATGCAGCCCAGTTCACATAGGCTTAGTGCGCAAGAAGGCCAAGCAACAGTGCTTAAAGGGGCAACAGCTTGGTGGCAAGCCAACAAATTCAACGAAGGTTAAGAATGGATATGCCAGCAGCAATGTGGTTGCTTCTTCAGGCTTTTCTTGTCAGCTGTGATGATGCAACTACTCGAAGCTGCTACTTCCCAATGCAAACCACCTCATGCAGCAAGACATGGGACGCTGGTGGCGACCCAATGCCTTCCTGTTGTATGACAACCCTGACAAACCTAAAGGTTTCACCGTTTTCAATACCACTTGGAAGAAAATACGATTGACTTTTCAGACTCAGCAAAGACTGGCCAACTCATGCAAGCACTAGGAAAATAGCCGCTTTTTGTCCGGGGAATGTTTAAAGTGTAAAGTGGCAAACAACATGTCACATTCTTGATTGGATTCTCCAAGCGAGCACCGTGCACCTTGGCCAAGGTTAAGCAGAGTTGAACAAGTTCAGAGCATCAACTGGCTCATTGCAATTGGTGTCGCAGACTCCTCAAGAAATCAGAAAGCAACATGGATGATTCAACATCAAGCAACTCTCTCCATCCCAGTCCCAGCTGGATGCAAATCTTCCAGCTTGGAGTAGTTTGCGCGGTTTGCGTAGTTGTGGCATTGGGCATGGTCAAGTGTTTAACGGTGTCGCTCCAAAGATTTGCCCTTGCTTGTATGAAAGCTACTGGTTCTGGATTTGAAAGGCCAATTTGATCATGCTGTTTGGAACGCAATATATAATTCAGGTTTGGCTTGACACATGGCAGCTACTGAATGTAGAATGAGGATACAGATGTTTGCCACAAGAGTGATGCCCAGGTGCGCGGGGATGAAGAGCTCACAGGCTACAAGGAGAGCTGCAGAGGTGAGACAACTGTGCAACTCCATCACTTCTAGCAAGGAAATTACAGGACCCGAAAACCCTACATGGGCTGAACATAGAACCCGGTCTTGTGTCGTGCTAGCAAACGCAGCATTGTGCTAGACTTGCGCTAGGGCTGGCGCCTGGCGCTAGTCGCTGCTAAGTCATAGAGGATGTTCCTACTGTGTTTCCACACAGGCCCAAGAGGATGCTCCCACTGTTTTTAGATTGCTAGTGTATGGAAAAGACAACAATTGTCAAAGCCAGCAAGCCAAACCCAGACCGGAACGTGCGCTCTTGATCACGGCCACTTGGTGGCCTGTGGCGCTGGCGGAGGGGTGCGCTAGATCCGTGCTAGTTAGACCACTTTGCAACTTTGACCACTTGCCTAGGTGCTTCCCAGGGACTACAAGTTGCTACACTACAGACATACACTTCAGATATGCATACATATGGAAATGTTTGGAGCACCTTGAAGGTGTATGCACAACATACAGCCATATACTATGAGATTGTCCGTGAACACGCCTTGCTTGCACGAAAGCTACCGCCTGGAATTGCTCTGATTTATAGCTGGGTGAGTGAGTGAGATAACAATGAATGTAAGTGAGCAGAACCTCCCATCCCCCTGCGAGCGAGCAAACGGCAGGGAGCAGCCAGGGAAGCACAAGGGCTGCAGGAAACGAGCTGACCGCAGCCGACTGCAGCGGACCAAGGCGCCTTTGCAGAACCTCCCATCCTGCAAAATGCAGGGAAATACAAAGGCATGAAACTAGCCGACCACAGCAAGTGAGTGAATGTAAATGAGTGGGTGTAAGTCACAGTGTGCGAGTGTAAGTGAAAGAGTGCAAGTGAGTGATTGTAGGTGAGTGAGCGGTCAGTGTACGAGTGTAAATGAGTGAGTGCAAGTGAATGAACAAAATGTACAAGGAGGAGCAAGGCGGAAGGCCGACGGGATGCACAGTAAAAGTAAGAACTCTACACAAAGATGTTGGGAAATAATAAGCTACAGGCCCCTTCAATAAGGTTCCTATAAGAGGGGGCCTTATTAAAGGGACATTGTTTTCATGTCTTCCTTACTCCCCCAATATCCCAAAATAAATATTAAAGACTTCACACTGTTCAGTCATGAAATTTCAGGAAGGGTTAATCGTGACAACATGTGAAGTTTCATGCAGTCAACCGTTGATGCATCTTTTAGGACTGCAAGACAAGCGGGTACTACTTCATTTTCCATGTGAACTATCGGCGTACCCGGTGGCGAATCATTGCTTGCCCTCACGATGCAGTGGTCCAGGACTCACTTGTGGTTTTATCCTTACGGTGTCAAATGAAAGATAAAGACACGGAGAGGGTGAGGAAGAGAGGGAGAGACGCTCCTTGGGAACCCTTGACAATCTACAGTAATTTGTCCTTTGCCCTTTGCTGGATTTGGCTGGAAAATGTATGAACAATTGTTATACAGTTAGGAGATTTTGCAACAATAAGAAACCACGTCATGCTGAACATACAAGGCCTTCCACTTGGGAAAGCGAGTGGCAGAGCTTTTCAGCATTGATGACAACAGACTCACTTGCAAGGGATAATAGTGGCATGTCATAATCTAGATCCAAATGGACAATTTGATCAATAAAAACAAAGGGGGCCACCTTGGACTTTCAAACATAGATTGTGAGTGAAACTGCACAGCGGTTCTATGTACTGCCTTGCCAACATCGCCACTGCACCGAGCATCCTGTTTGGAGGACATCGGTGGAGAGCACTATTGTTGCGACCCACAGGCTCGGGGACCCAATGCAAAGGACCGTGTGTTGCTTGCTGTTGCAGTTTTCTCATGAATCCACTAGCGATTTAGACAGACTACAATCTGAGGCAGACGGTCACTTTGAGATTGACGCCTTCGAGGGGCAGACACTGTTCCTGGCCAAAAAGGAGTGTTAAACTCGAGCTCTTGCAGCTCTTGGGAACGAGCCTGTTCAAGAAATTCAGCATATCCAGGATGCTCCAACGGAGTGCCTACAGCAATCGTTCTGACAAGGATGCGACGAGTGAAATGTAATTCAGGGTAATGTCAACTTTTTCCAGCGAAGGCAGCAAGAACATCCCAAAAGGAAAACATGCAAAAACAAAACAAGTATCATAATATATGTGTGTGTGTTTCACATGCTTTTCAAGAACGATACTGGCTTACAGCATTCTTGTCACACAACAAATCATACATGTTGACAAATTTGTGGATGAATTGCCCCAGGTCTGTTGAGCTTGTGGAAAACGAGCTGCAGGGTTCTCAGGCAGCACAAACTCAGAGAGCATCATGTCGAATATATTATATATACACAGATTATTGCTACTGAGCTTGTTTGTTCCAGTTTGTGCTACTGCACGGTTTCTTTGTTCTCTTCAAGAGCGCCTCTCCTGTTTGATGCATCAGCTATCTAGGTGGATCGCAGAGGGTGGTGAGCGAAAAGCCCAAGGCGTTTGGGCACAGAGCTCAGGACGTTGTTTGTTTTGCTTCCACGTTCTTCCTGAGAAAAGCATCTCAGTTGTGTGTCGCTTTTAATTTTGCCTTTCTTGACTACCCCAAGCTACTTCAAAGATGCCAACATGGAAAATTTTGCCAAAGATGAGGCCAAGAATACAAAACTGCCACAAGGGGACTACTTCCCAGCAGTGCCATGGCAGTCAAGATTGTTGTCTTTTGCGACGGTTCATGTACAATATGCGATTTGCCAAAAATTGTTCCATGTTGTCATTGTTGAGAACATAGAACCGATAGTTGCAGCCAGAGTATGCTGCTTTTTGTATACATTGACTTTGCTTCATGCTGATGGATACTATCGCGAGCTGAAACGCAAGGTGCTTACTTCCAACTGTCCAACAATTTTCTCAGCCAAAGTGCTGTGAGACTGTCAAGGCGCCCTGAGGTGATGCTCAAGACGCACAATAATGTGTCCATTCACTAGCTGAGTGTAGAGGGGACTATTTTGTGAGAGAGAGCAGTGCCGGTAAATAGACCAGAGGCACGACATGCGCGCACTCTACTGCATAAGGGATGTAGCTACCTGTGCCAGGAAGCTAGGAACGCAGAGTACAGAATATTCAGTATACAATGAATATATGTATATACTATATATATATATTACATGTCAATAATAATTAGTTCATGCGGGTGTTTGGGAATATTATGCGCAGAGCAGACTTTAAATGCGCTGGCCCAAGCAAGTGTATTATTGCTTTTTTCAATACATGTCTTTGGCATGCCTTCGGAGCCTTCTTGGAGGTTATGTCCAACTTGTGGTTTGCCATGGGAGAAAGTCAAGGAGAACTTCCGATCACGGAGCTACAGGCACAGTGATCTTGGGTAGCACAGTGCAGTGGAATCGAGTATTTGTAGGAGCTGGAAATTGTCCGCTTTTGCATGAACACTTGAAGTATGAACCCTTGAAGCTTTCTTTTCACAGGCCCTGCTTTCATGCAAATTATCTCTCCTCGCTAGCTCAGCCGTTTTTTTGTTTGGCTTGACCTCAAACCAACATTGATTCTCTCATTTATCTCCCTGGAGACTCGGAGATACAAACTCCCCACCATTCTTGAGTGCTGCTTGCGATTACTATTGGGAGCCAGGAAACAGAGAGGCCTTGGTCATTAAACTTCTTCGGCTTCTCGTTCTCTCACCCTTCCGTATCTCAAATGCACTCTCAGTTCTATATACTCACTTTTTCCCCAAACAGTGTGGTCACACTAGGGGTTCTTACGGTAGTGGTTAAGGGCCGGTGTCTAATCGCGGTTGTCACTGCGCTCTCGTAGTGGCGCCGTGCGTATTTTCGGACGTGGTGGTCACTTTTCGTGGTAGGCGCAAGGGAAACCTCGTGTTTTGGCCGACTTTTCGTGACAGGTGCAAGGTGTCGGAACGGCTTTACTTCGATGTGTAGATTTCATGCAGGCGCAGCACTTTGGTCATGGTGGTGATCTTCGACGCGCTCTGACTTCGTGACAGGTGCAGTGAATCGTGACTTTTCTACACGTGGATCGCTTTCAGAAATCGTGGCAGGCGCAGCAGTTTGTGACCCTCAAAGTGTAGATCGAGTTCGTGGCAGGCGCACACTTTGTGAACCTCGAAGTGCAGATTTCGTGGCAGGTGCAGCACTTTGTGAACCTCGATGCGCAGAGTTCGTGGCAAGCACAGTACCTTGTGAAGCTCGAAGTGCAGATTTCGTGGCATTTACTCAACACCACCATCATCACCACCATCACCACGATCTCCACCTTCATCACTGGCAACTCCAATGCGTCTAGATCTCTAGACTTTCTGCTGCCAGGGTCTCTTGCCGGGATAATTTTGGACTCTCAATTCAAGTTCGATTCGTCGGTGCAACAATTGTTGCCTGGCCAAAGTGCTCAGACCGCGCGACTGCAACAGGCGTTTGAAGGCAAAATAATCGCCAAGAGCTGCAGAGGGCGAATGTGAATTTGGTTTTTGGAGTTCTACCGTATCATAGCAGATCGGATTGGTAATGTGGATTTTTATACATGCAGTGCTCAAACAAAATCAATGCATTGGCAGCCATGCTTTGACATGTTGCTGAGACTACTTGCCTTGAAAATCATTCCTAGCAACTTCTTATCTAAGTATTAACTATAAGGTTGAATAGTCTCATCTAACCAGATGGAACACTACTCTGACAAACAGCTGTGGACGCAGACCACTTTTTGTCAGTATCAACAATGCATGGATATGGATGCATGTTCTGTTTTTGGTATCTCTCAGGTGGGTTTCCAAAGCTCACAGTCGCTGCAGCCTCCGCAGTCAGGGGCACCGGAGTGAATCAGCCTGCTTGAAAACAACTGTGAATGCAGCATTTATCAGTTACAGAGTGAAGGTAAACATGCAAGCCTAATTAAGAATTTGTACTTGCACTCAAGTTCACGCCTTGTGCAGATGTCAACTTGCAGAGAAACAATTTGACTGAGAGATGACGTGGCAAGAAGTAACAGAACCGACTCAATCTTGAGATTTAAGACAGGTTGCTGTTGCACATGCTCAGGCCTCCTTCAGACCGTGGCCCTCAGAATTTGCCTCGTCGGCCCTCTCGGTCAAAGCTCAGCGAGGCTCAAAAGTTGTTTGAGTCCAGGAACAGGACCTTATTTGCAGCAATGCAATGCAAAAAAAAGGAAAGACATGGAAGTCTCTCGCACTGTTTTGGAAGAGAGTGCCTTTCATATTGATTGTTGATTTCCTTGCATGCTTGGAGGCGGAGCCGCTTACACGCAGGTTTTGACTTGAGGCTGAGAGCAGAAAATTTGTGTGGAGGTTTGGCCGGTGCACGATGTGGACTTCATAGGGCTGCCCATGGGCTTGTTGGCTGGTGAAGCAAATATCAAATATGAAACATGTCCAAGTAAGGTTTGCATTGCTAGCTAGACAGCCCTTCCAGCCAGAAAGCAGCTGGTATGGACTTGAACCCTTGCAAGATGACCTGCACAGCGGATTCGTAGCACTGCAAATGCTTGGACATTTCTACACTTGTGCTGTACATCCACTCACCTGGCCAAATTCGTCAGCTGTGCTTGCCAGCTGCCGCGCAGTGGTGTTTGCATTTTGGGGCACTCCTGGCCTTGCAAATATCAGACATTAATGTGTTGGTCCGGAGTCCAGCTTCACCAAATTTGAGGCACTTCTAACACACACAGAAAAGACATGGTTTGTTTTTTTGTTTTAGTGCTCATGCAAGTGTTTGAGTGCCCCCGTGTAGGTAGCGATTATGGGAGACATCCAATAAGACGTTGGAAACCTCCTGCCAAGCTACGAAAGGCGTCACAGACAAGTGGCTCAAGGATGATTCAGGTAAGGCACGTAAGTCCAAAGCGATTGTGATTCCTTTTGATCTTCATACTTTGCAAGTGTTTGACATTCATTTCGTTGCTGTTTGTCGGTGTGCGCCTTCCCTAGCTGGCCAGATATGTGTGCAAGACGAAAACACTGATTTATATAAAATAGTTCTTTTGAAACTATACTTGATTGTACAGTTGGATTTATGAGTTATGAAGAGTTGTTACGCCGCTTAAGTTCTTCAATATGTTCCTTTGTCACGGCCTTTTTTATGAGCTTGTACATTGTACAGTACTCGAAGCATCCAATACACTCATCAAACAGCGATAACACCATGTCTACGATGGGTCCATATGTTCTTGCACAGGCGTGATGCATCACAGGTACAGTATGTTTCTCTGACAGCAGGGTATTCCGGGTATTCCGTCCAAGTTTTGCCTGGCCGTTCTCTATCCTGCGTAAGGCCAAGAGCCACCATTTGGAGTTTGCCGCATAAATGAAATGGCACGGCTGAAGGCAAAAGGCATTGTTGACTCCAGAGCCCTGTTCAAATGTTTTAAAACAAGAAAACAGCTGCTTCAGAAAGTACATGAACGTGTGCCGAGAAGATGTTCTCCCGTTTGCCTTGTCACCATGGCTTCAAAGCAAGCTCAAAGCCATGCCCTGAAAATGCGTTTAAACAGAGCCAAATGAAGGCCCGGAACTGCTGAGGAAAGCGCCTGTAGCTGAGCCGGAAGACCTCAACCTGCCAAGAAGGGACGTGCTGATGCAGATCCTCCAAACACAACTCGGCAAAGATACTGGCTGGAAGGCTAGATGCACAGCATTTGGTGGCAGCATTTGGCAGGGAGGCTGATAAACAATAAAGAGACAGCAAGAACAACTCCCGGACGAGAAGCTGGAGTCTTCATGAGCAGCCTCCTCCTCCCCCAGTAGCTTTGAATTTGACTCTGCTTAAATCTTCAGAGCAAAGTGCACGTGTTTCAATCCGACCGATGATGCCAGAAGATTACACAGAACCCTGGAAACAGCCTTCAGCATCTGTCGCGTGCAAAACTTGGAACACGATAATACACTCACCAAATTCGATTGTGCAAAACCATGCAAAATACACATGAGACATAAACAGAGTCGCTCAGATAAATCATGTCATATCTATGCAGTAAATTGGTGGGTCATGCAATGACCAATAGCCATGTTGAGTTGTACTGCTGTTTTCAGATGTCCTGATACGTCAATTGTATTTGGTCCATTGCGTGAAGCATGCTTGTGTTTTGCAATTTATGTTGTGCATGACGCATCATACAGAAAAATACCTGCGAGATAAAGTCGCAACATTTACATGTGTCATGTGTCACCTGGGATGAATTACGCGCCGACTAAGATGAACACGGACCAAGGAAAGGTGGGGAGACCGAATGCGAGCGCATGCACGTACCCGATTTGGGGTTACGGTGGAAAAGGTTGAGCACTGTTGGATCCTGGCCACGCGAAGGTCACGATTGAGGCAATTGTTCCAAAGGAAGAATTTGGGCTGCATCAATCAGTGGAATGCAATGGCGGTGTGAACGGGCAAACTGGTTGAAAATTCAGGAACAAAGGCTGCCATGGTTTGCATGATCTTCTGCACATGTGGTAGAATTGGTCTTCCGGCTATTTCAGGTGTGTGTGTGTGTGCCCCTTGTAATCACAGGGATCCAGTCGGATTGTGCTTTCTTCTTTTTCCTTTTGTTTTAAGCAGGGGGACCAGGCATCTTGCTGCTGACCTGGTCTAACAAAGCTAGGCAGCAAGATGGGATACTGGAGTTGGCCACTCCAGCGTACCTGCGATTCTTTTCAAATGGCATGAGGCTAAGCCCAGAACCTCGAAGACATGGTGTTGCATAGGGCTTTGGTTTTGATTTGCAGATGTGAGCGGACGACGTCATTCTGTCGGTCGATCGTTCGGTGGTCTCTTTAGACTCTATGGCCTTGCTGAACTTGTTGGACCTCCACTTCCTTTTCAGGTTTCCTCACCTGTACCCTTAGGAAATGGAACCCTAGGCCGGCGTGTGGCACCGCTGTCAAGTCAGTACGCATATCCATAAGTGTGTTTGGCTTCGTGCCAACTCGGGATGAGCCCGTAGAGTGCCTCCCGTGGACCCGTCGAACGGGGGTTTGTCGTTATCTCCCCTGCCCGGAGATGTAAGTGTCCGGAGCGGACAGCAGATGGCTTACGCCACAAGAAGTGGGATGTTTGTCTCATTTTTGGAATTCCAAGTTTGCTCATGCCTTTACGTGACCGCAGCGGTCCAAGCTGGCTTAACGCCTCAACGTGGTCAGAGCGACCGAAGTACTTTTGAGGTTCATTGGAACCTGTCGCGACCTTGGGTGCACACACAGCGTGTACATTGAAACGAGGCAGGTCACCTAGGTCGTTGCAATGAGGTTTGGTCTCATCGGTTTTCGTCCCCTCCATTTGGTTCCCCTTTCATCCCTTCCCCTTCACACACTTTTGTTTCCTCTTTTCTTTCATGTCCTCCTGTCTTCATGTCTGGTCATCTCATCCTTTTCTTCGTTTGCGCGCACATTGGTCCCGACCTTAGTGTGTACGTGCACTTCTACATACATTTTCAAACAGGTTTCAGGTCGCCCAGGTCTTGACAATGAGGTGGGCTTCATCGGGTGTCCCTGTGCACTTGGTTCCCTTTTCATTTCCACCACACACACACACACCTTTGTCCCGTCGCGTCCTCCTGTCATGTCTTCATTCTTTTGTCTCTTGTGCGCGCACGCATGCACATTTGCCCTCACCTTAGCTTGACGCCTCCCCTCGGGGAGGCGTGTGTGTGTGTGTGCCCCTTGTAATCACAGGGATCCAATCGGATTGCGCTTTCTTATTTTTCCTTTTGTTTTAAGCAGGGGGACCCGGCATCTTGCTGCTGACCTGGTCTAACAAAGCTAGGCAGCAAGATGGGATACTGGAGTTGGCCACTCCAGCGTACCTGCGATTCTTTTCAAATGGCATGAGGCTAAGCCCAGAACCTCGAAGACATGGTGTTGCATAGGGCTTTGGTTTTGATTTGCAGATGTGAGCGGACGACGTCATTCTGTCGGTCGATCGTTCGGTGGTCTCTTTAGACTCTATGGCCTTGCTGAACTTGTTGGACCTCCACTTCCTTTTCAGGTTTCCTCACCTGTACCCTTAGGAAATGGAACCCTAGGCCGGCGTGTGGCACCGCTGTCAAGTCAGTACGCATATCCATAAGTGTGTGTGTGTGTGGGAGGGGGGGGAAGTTTAGCTATATTTAGGATTAAATTGTCGACTTGTTAAGGCCGCTACATGCTCAGCAACAATACGAAAAGACTTCGGCCTGTTGGCGGATGGAACGTTGTTCTGGCTGTAAAAGTTGGATTTCCGGGGAGTCATACAGCGGTGCTGGGGCGGTGCCTTCAGCCGAAGTTGAGGTCTGCAATATATTTCCAGGTTTGTTGATGGTTTATTTGCTGCTGCTTCTGATGGGCATGTGTTGACTTGCAGAGAAGATCAAACTCATGGTCATCCTGTCATCCTTTATATACATATATATAACATATTATATACATATGTTTGTGTCTTTTTGGCTGCAAAGGTCAGCGAGATTGCCTGTGATGATGAACAGGTCAACCATGCCTGTAGCTGCGTATGATGGATGTGCATATGGGCTGGTTGCCATAGTGCAGTGAGCCGGATACGATCTGGATGGGATAGCTTTTGGTTTGCCGCATCCATTGTTCCATTGCTCATGTGGTGGATGAGAGCGACAACATAGTGTGAGTCGTGCGAGGAGCCCCTAGTAGTGTGGTGCAAAGCTCCTAGTAGCTTCTTGTTCCTGGTAGTAAGGCCACGAGCCCCTAGTAGCGTCCTTGCTCCTAGTAGCGATGCCAGGAGCCCCTAGCCCTTGCTCCTAGTAGCGATGCCAGGAGCCCCTAGTAGCGTCGTTGCTCCTAGTAGCGATGCCAGGAGCCCCTAGTAGCATCCTTGCTCCTAGTAGTAAGGCCAGGTGCCCCTAGTAGCTTTCTTGCTCCTAGTAGTAAGGCCAGGAGCCCTAGTAACGTTCCTGCTCCTAGTAGCGATGCCAGGAGCCCCTAATAGCATTTTTGTTTCATGGTGTGGCCGGGGTAGTGTTGTGCGAGGAATCGAGCGGTCCGCACAGTTGAGCAATTGCACGGGTAAACCAGCGCCATGCCAGCAACTTGACCAGGGAGTGCCTTTTGGCTACAGTGGTGATAGTGATAGTGGTGTGATTTTTTGGCTTCAATACATTTCCTGGATCTATTGTCATCTTCTAAAGAAGCAGTGGGCGCGGTTTCAACAACTAGCCAAACTTTGACAATGCCAAGCCAAGTTGTTAGCAAGGGTTGTGCAATTCTTCAAAGGACAAAATTGGCAACAACTCGCCAAAGCACAGCTCTCACTCCACCTACTTGCATCGAGTCGAGTCCTTGTGCTTCTGAGCTCGCAATTTTGAAATTGCTTGCGCACGCCTTTGCAGGCAAGCCTCAGTGAGCTTTGCTTGGGTGAAGTGAGAGTTTAGGTCCACAAAGCAAAAGGTGATACAAGGGTTGGTTTAGAGCACAGTCTCATACGGATTGCAAATAAAGTACGAGTTCTGTTGAGTTCTGGCAGGTATAGAAAGGAGTATTTTGCACATATATATATATATAGTCTAAGAAAATATGCAAACAAGTTGCTCATTGTGGCCGGAGGACTTGCTTGTGCTTGTGCTTTTTGCTCAACCAGGGCCATCGTCTCATGATGCAGCGCTGGGCAGCCTCTTTCACACCAGCTGCGACCATGGCAGCCCGACAAACTTGCCGCCTAGTTTAAGGAGAGCAGACAGTATTTGTTTGGTGGCGATAGTGGCACTATAGTATGCATAGAGGCACGCTGCATCCAACTGGATGCAGAGTAAGGCATACTGCATACTGTGTGGTTTGAACTGCATGTTATTTGGTTTCACGGTCCCCTACGTAGCCTCGTGTCCAGGTCGCTTAGCCTTGCGTAGGTACGTAGCCTTCATGTAGGCTGCCCACAGGAACTATATGCCTTTCATGGATTCATCGCCACCTTACAATCCGTGGCGCTTGTTTTTCGTGTTCTATAGATTTATTCCCCACATACACGTGTGGGGTTTTTGTTTTTAGTGTTGTATCCGCTCCTCCTTCCTCCTCCTCCGGCCTCCCGCTTGCCACCCACAAACTGCCACCAACCAATTGCCACCCCCCACCAACTGCCACCAACCAATTGCCACCAAGAAACTGCCACCAACCAACTGCCACCAAACAATTGCCACGAATGTACGCCCTGGTGCACTGTCACAGGTTGAGGGCAAAACCCAACACATCATTGATTGCAATAAAACGCAACGTTCGCTGTAGACTGTAGCTAGACACGGACTGCCGAAGTTGTTGTTTTTTGGCAGCACACATCCGGAAGTTTGGCACAATGGCAAAATGCAGTCTCTTTCCTTAAAGGAACCTCCAAACCCAGGCCTTTTCCACAGCTGGTTTCAGCTTGCTGAGGTTGCTTTTGTTCCACTTGTGCTTACATGAGGCATGACATGAGGCTCATCAATCCATGGGATCCCTTTGTTCAGATTGTTTTGTCCGGCTGTGCTTCATTTGTTTGCTTGCATGCACCTGCTTTGAGGTGGATTGCCAAGGCAGTTTTCAATGCGAAGGGCTCCCATCGACAAGAAGCAAGTAGGAGAGGTTGGACAGGTTGGTGACAATCGAGAACAGTGAGCGGCGTGTGATGGCTAGTGCATTATGCTGGCACACACACACACACATTATTTCATTATTTGATCAGTTTGGTGGTAAAGAAGGTTGGTTCGAAGGGGGTCTCCTTGCCGTATGCATTATGCTGAGGTACAATACATTATGTTGAGGCAATTTTCCAAGGGCATCCTTCAGTGTTGGAGTTCATGTGCAGGACGCTTTGGCGTGGAATGGATCATGGGGCGCAAGCCCACTGAGATCAACGTCAGAGAGGTAGAGCTCCCCAAGGAGCAACTTTTCAATGAGAGCAATCATTGTTAACTTGCCGTTTGTTCTCTCTACTATTCTACCTTCTTTCCCCTCTTTGTCCGTTCATGTCCTGTCTTTCTTCCTTATCATTCCTTAGTGTCAGGTCCTCAGGATTTTGCCGTCAGTTTTCTGTTCACATTTGTGCCATCGGTCTCAAAGTGTGTTGACCAGTGCAGCTGTCCTACATTGCGTTGCACTTTGTTACCAATAGTATAGTCCTCCTTAGCACTTTCACTGTCCTCCTTACAGTATAGTGATTTTTCATTATATATATATATCTTTTCCCACTCATGATATGTTGTAGTTAACTATAGTTGCTTTTGACTTTTGACCCTGATGCACAGCTTGCTCCTCGACCACCAACATTGCCTTCAGGTGCGAATTTTGTGTTTCATGCGGTTGCAGGCTGCAAAATCTGCGTTCGTAACGTATGCTTCTATGATGATTGCATGTATTGAAGTTTCTTCTCAATCTATTGCGTATAATATGATATAGGGCTACGTAAACACACATATTTTGTTTACATCACCGTGGGTTTGTGCTAGTGCGTGGCGCGCCTCAGTTGTTCGTATCAGGACATATCGGGACTACATTCTCCAATTCATGCACTTTTCCAGTACAATTGAGTGCTGCATTCCGGCCTGGCATACATACACCTGCACGTGTCAGCACAAAAGCACAGAGGAATGTTGTATGTGATGGAATGTTTGGCTCCTGTCCTCAAGGTTTTCAGGCACTTTGTACTTGCACTCGACGAAACAAACGCATTTTATGGTGGTTGTCTAGACAATATCTCAGTCATTCAAGATGCATACTGTTTGGTTTCCATATTCACGGAGCCGCAATATACTTTTGTTACATTACTGTTTGAGCTCGGTCCTTTCACTCAGAAATATCTTCACAAATCTAGATTGGGTTTTGCCTCAGTATCAGTGGATTGCATCGTCGTGCTTTTGTTCCGCTCAAGTCTGCCACACCTGCCTGTGGTGTATAAATGCTGGAAAGAACCATATTGTGTGTATGGTTTCATGCTAAGACTGATGAACCATGATGAGCCCTGTGTCAAGAAGAGCGGCTGTCGCCATCCGACAGATGCATTCCACCTGGAACATGACGGGTTATCTTTGGCTGAGACAGGTTCGGTTCGTTGCACACATTGATTTCCGAGTATGTTTTTTTCGAGCAGCTGGCTTTCACACTGTGCTTCAGATGGTGCAGTCATACTGTTTGGAGTGGTTCCTGCATTCTCCACATCACCGCAAATGGTCAGCAACTTCAGCCTATCGTGGACATTCGCAGCCCACCTTCCTTGATTGAAACTTTTAGCAACCCGACTGACACAGCTTGCCAAAAATCATATAGCTGTATGTGTGCTTCGGAGTATGTTTTCACTGATTGTGTTATATACCTGTTTTTTTCGCTGTGACCTTTCACTGGATGCTTTGAGATGTTTGAACATATTACAACTTGTAATGCAAACCCCGGATTAATCAACCGGCCCCCGCCACATAGAAGGTCAACAAGGTCCAGAAGGTCTGAGGTTACCATTCATGAGGTCCACACACCCTGAATAATATGCTATGAGGCCATTAGACCATGAAGGTTGATACCTAGGGTTTTGAGAAGGATGAACTGATGAGCATGAGGCCTGAATAGGTTTTGAGAAGGGATGAGCTGATGAGTATTGGCTGGCAACTTTTGGGCTCAGAATGGGGCCAATCAGCTGGTGAGCAGGTGAGGTAAACTCATAAGCCACCATGGGGATTCTTCTCCACAATGCCTTTTGGGCATTGGCTGATGAAGATGATGAGGATGAGCACCTTGGCTTGAAGTGGGAAGGGATGGGACGGGATTGAACGGATGGGAGGGGATGAAAGGGATGGAATGGGATAGGTTTGAGAAGGACCAGGGGGTAGGTATGAGAAGCACCATGGGGGTGGGTATGAGAAGAACCATGTAAATGAGTATGATGAGCAACCAGAAGAAGAGAATGATTTTGAACATGATGTGGAAGTATCCTTGCAGAGTGAACAAAGAGAGGAGGTGGGGAATGAGCAACAGCAAAAGAGCAATGAGCAGGTTGAGAAAGAACAGACTCCACAGACTCCAACACAGAAACCTTGTGTTCCTATGAGAAGGTTCAGGATGAAGATGCCAGAAGCGGCACCAGCGCTAATGAGCAGGGTAGACCCTACAGAATCCCTGGTCATCTGCATCAGTTGAGTCTCCATTGGTGCCCAAAGAGTTGTTTCCAACCCCTCTAAAAAACAATCCACTATTGGAAGATGGTAGCAAAAGAGCCAGGCACCTCATGCGCTGGATGGGAGCAAGAGTGCAAACACCCAACTTAGTCACACAGCTCAGTGAGGTGGAACAGAAGGTGAGAGCTGAGCTGACATGGAATCAGTTTGATTTCCAAGCTTGGAAGATCAGCAGCAAGAAGGATGAGCTGTATCATGAGATGTTTGCACAGCCAGATAAGGCCAAGAACCATGCGAGTCAATGTGCGCTGGGCTTTTCAGATCAGGCCCCACTATGGGTGAAAAAGCAATCCAATAGAGGTGCTTGCTGGGTTTGAGCTGAGGACATCAGCAAAGAAGGTGTCAGTGCATAGGCAAGAGATCAGAGAGCAGCTGCTTCAGGGTGCCAGAGAGAAAGCTGCATGGCCCTTGCAAGATGAGGTGGCGAGAGCTGAGGCAGCAGATGAGACTTTCCATGAGCCAGCACCTCTTAAGGCAGGCAAGACCCACCTCACCACCATGAGGGAAGTCAATGTGGATAAGTACCGGATCACATTTGAAGCGCATCAAGCTTGTGACAGGATGGTTCAGCCTCTTGGGTGATGAGCCATGCCAGCCTGTTGGCCACGTCTTGCCTGGAGTGGTCATTGATAACATTTCTAAGGACGATGAATGGATTGAATCAGAATCCTCTGTGTACATGGGACAAAGGGTATGGAGGAGGTTGAGAAAAGCTGAGTCTGATCTGTTCCGGCATTTCTCTGTCATGAGCCCACCAAGCTCAAACATGGACTCTGTTTTGATGGCCTGGCAGGTGAGGGATCAGGCCAAAAGTATCCAATGAGCTTGTGGCAGCGGGACTGTTTCGGGGCTGCGTTCCAAGCAGATGTGAGGCAGCCATCAAGTGCCATGCAGTGTCATGGCAACAATGACCAGCGCATTACAGTTGACGGACACAGATTTCAGCAATGAGTTCAAGTCCAAAGGAAAAAGGGCTGTAGACATGAGGATGAAACAAGGAGCAGAGAAGATGAGAAGGATGAACCAGGGCGATCAGAACAATACAAAATGAGCATCAGAGATATGGCTGCTGTGATGGATGAAGCCATGGAGCACATGCCCCAGAAGGATGGATCTCTGAAGTACCAGGATGAGCAGAATGAGGAATGGTGCAAGAACATGCCCATTGGCAGCAGCAGGGTCAGCCAAGATTGGTTGAAAGGTCGACTGGCACGGATCAAGAATGGTGGGAATGAGGTTCCTCATTGATTGGAGCTACACTGATGGACCTGGATGAGGCACACCAACCAGAATGGGTGCAGGCTGGTCACTTTCAACTCTCACTAGAGTTGAAAAGGCAGCTTGCTAAGCAAGAGACAGGCATGAGCGCCAAGGGCAAGGAAAAGAGGGATAAGCTCAGAGAAAAGCGAGCTCAGAAAAAGTTGAGGAATCAGGCAAAGAAGAAATTGGATGCTGATGAGAGAGAACAAATCAGAGCCACCTTGCAAAGCAAGAGCAGGCGTGAGGCTGCAACAAATGGTGCCCAGCACCAAAATTTGGACACCTGCATCCCAAGCATTGGCCAAAAAGAAGGATGAGGTAAAGAAAGCAGCTCTGGCATTGGTGAAAGAAAAAGATATGGCTGAGAAGGCCAATGCGCCAGCAGATGCTACTCCATTGCCCCCAGCAATGGAGGAACCTCAGATGAGGGCAAGGCAGATGAAGCAACCAGTGCCACCTCGAGTGTTTTGCGCGGCGAAAGACACGGCAGGCACGAGTCCTGGCAGACGAGGAACTGTCAGGGAGGTGGAGACTAACGACCATTGGCAGGTCTTCCTTGATGAGGTCAATAAGAATGTGTCAGCCAAGCTTGTATGGGTCAAAAAAGAGCATTTGCAAGAGATTCAGCCACATGAGGCCAGCAAGAAGTGGGAGCGGCCACAGTTGACTCAGCATAAAGAAGAGGTTCTGCTTGAGGCTGGAACCATTGGAGAAGATGTAGATGAGCATGAGTCATGGGACCAAGTGGAAGTGCTTGGTAGCAAGTGCCCTCCTCAGACCATGATTTATGGATGGCTGCTGCTCAGTACAAAGCCATGAGCAAGCAGCTGGGGCAAGTGGATGGCGCCACCATGCTCTTTCCACAGCTTCTTTGGTGCTTGGTCAATGAGAAGGCTGAGGTGAACCATGAGGCTTGCGGCATTGGTGTATGAGATGAAGGGCAAGGACAAAGTCTTCTTGTGTCCTGTGGTGACAAGCTCAGAAAGAAAATCATGTATTATGACAGTGGTAGGGAGCTCCAGATGAGAAATAGATGGCACTGAGCATGAGATTGTGAGAATATGCATTAGGACTGTGTGGCTATGGCTGAGGAGATCTTGGGCAAGATGTTGACTTGTAAGTGCATTGATGAGGCCCTTGTCAATGGCCCACCACTGAGGAGAGAGAATGACAAGGTTCGCCAGCCCTTGTCTAGCAACATGTGTGGCCATTTCGTGTTGAGCTTCATGGAGAGTGAGATGAGCCACCACCTTGCCTATGGCCCTGCGTCAGCTGGATATGCTTTCACACTGGCCTTTGCGTGGCAAACCAGTGTCTCAGCCATGCTTTGTGTTGTGCGCAATGGGGAATAAGTTTTTTTGATGGGGAATGAACTGCTTTCAATGTAAGGACTGGAGAAATTCACCGAGCAGTTGGCCAGTGAGCTGAGGTCAAAAGGATCAGGAGCTTGCTGATGAGAAACTGAGGCAGCTGGGCAAGAAGAGCTTGGACCAGACGCAGAAACAGCGTCAGCTGGCCAGGATGAAAATGAACGAGGAGCTGACTGCTTTGATGAAGCAGGCAGAATGTCTGGATGAGAAAAAACAATCCAAATTAGTGAGCTCCCCCATGAGTACCATGTGCAGATGGCCAAGGTGTTGGGTAGAGCTATTGGGATTTGCCCATCATGTAGATTTCAATCAGGCTGTCTCAGGTGCAATGAGGCTAAGTGCCTTGCGTACTGGATGAGGAGAGAGCGTAAGAAGTATCAGAAAGGCTAAGCCATGAGTGAGCAAAGACCTTCCAATGAGTTGAAAAAAGATGAGCAGCATTTTTTGGGAGAGGTGAGCAGCATGATTAAATAGAGATGAGCAGCATGGTTCATGATGATGGTAGTTGCACCATGACCAATAAATCCAGTTAGTTGATCCAACAATCAAAAACAAATAGTTATATATATTTTTTTCTGGGTTGTCTGGCTCGGTTTAATTGGGGGGTTCTAGATGACAAGTGCACTACTGGGGGGGAATTTAGCTCCAATACTACTTTCAACTTGGGTGCATTTGCGAGGCTGTGCGGGCTCGGTTTAACTATGGGGGGGTTATTAATCCTACCTCTGCATTATAGTCATAACTTATAACAATTGTTATTGCTTTAGAGACGCGATCCAAGCAGTTGCTTATGCCATAACGCTTTGTGAAATGAGTGTGAAACCAGCTGTTTCAACTCGTGAACGGCATGACATGTCAATGTTTTTTGAGCATTGCTGACAATTATTGCAGAAGTTTATTTTTTTTAACATTTATATACTTATTTAACATACCTATAATAGTTATACATATATAATATATATATAAATTCATACTGCATATACAGTTTCAGAGCAAGCCTTTTGGAGTTTCTTTCTCAGGTTTTCTGTCTGGAGGAGAAGTTTTGTTGCTCGTGGTGGTCTTTGTGTTTTGGGCCTAGCTGTTGGCAGTTTGTTATGGTTTTTGGTGGTTTCTTTGGTTTCTGAGTCTGGGGCGTGTGGCTTTTGTGGCTTTTGATGTACTGTCAAGTGGCTTTCGCTTTTGATGGCCTACTCTTTTTTTGGTTGAAGGCTACTGTGGCTGTTGGCTTTTGGTGCTTCTGTGGCTTTTGACTTTATGGCTTGTGAGTCTTTGGGCTGGCGTTTGGTTGCGGGTTGGCTTGGTTTAGATGGTTTGTTTTTAGTGGTCTCATGGATTTCTTTGGATTTTGATAGCTGGGCTTTGAGGGACTGCACTGCTGGGAACCTCCCTGCCAACCAAAAGGATATCTCACCCAAGAAATATCTCCGGGTAAATTTTTGTTGTCCCTTTGTGAGACCATATCCTGACAAAAGATCCGTATTGGATTTCTTGTGGCGTGCCTCACCGATATGCCCACGCAAGATATTGCTGGCATGTGCCTGCCACGGGAGTTTGTCGCTCAACGAATACCAAAATGGTCATTCGTATTTATACAGTGTTTTAACAGAAAAAATGTCTTGTGATGATGTCACTTTCCCGCACAGGAACCCTACAACCCTCGCCCGTATTTGATGCAGTTTCGGAAATATCCCGGCGTTGTTTGTGGTCTCGGAGCTGAATACTTCTACCGAGATGAGCAGCGCAGCTCCTTGGCCAACTTCGGTCTTCAGGGTTTGTGTTGTTGTCCACTTGATTCTTGAAGACCCTGTTGGATTTTCTGGATTAAGCTTCTGTATCATTGACAAAGTGCAGGGAATGCATGTCCTGTGAGTTTCTTGGTTTTCCAGTATCCTTTTTGGTGAGATGGAAGTTTGCGATTGTTTGATGTTTATTCTGCTGTTGGTTGGCTTGTCCTTCATCTGAAGGGGTACCCAGTTCGCCAGGCACTTCCGTGCTTTGAAGCAACCCTTCATGTGACAAATCATTCAATGGTTTTGGAGCCTTGCGTATTGATTGCTGGGTGTTGAGAAAGAAAGCGGAAGCACAGGAAAGATCAGGAAAAAGCATTAGAGGGCCAAGGATAGGACATACACTATGATGAGACTCTAGCTAAGGGTCCATTTATATAATAGAGCCTTGTTTGAGGAGCCTTATTTAATTGCTCGCAATTGAAAGATTGTCGGCGGCTGAGGAGCATTCCCCGCCCATAGCCAATGTCACAATTGGGTGAGAAGCAAGCTAAGAACAGGGCTAAAGGTCTCTTCCAGAAAATTGACTCCGCATAGCAGCCCACATGCCTCTCGGCAAAGAGTTTGCAGGCACAAAAGGTGAGCCGCTAGCAGGCACAAGAGTGCATGCACTGAGTCAAAGCAAGTGTTTGGCTTCGACAGAAGCTCAAGCTGTCAAAGAAAGTTTCAGCACAGACATCACTTTCCTCAGATCAAGCAGAACCACATAGGCATGGAATGGAATCCGAGTGAGAAGTCAGCACAGGCATTTGCCAGGCGTCCTCTACAAATTCACCTAGCTTACTCCCAGGTTTACACAACCCACCAAGTGTGTGGACCCAAACCACCATCACCACTTGCACTCAGCGGCAGCATTTTCAATGCTCAAAACGCTTGATCAATCCTGCCCACCTTCCCAGCCCAGGGCTTTGGTCAAGCAGAGCAGGACAAGGGTTTCCTGCAGAGGGGACCACACTCCCTGAACACTCAGCAAAAAAGGCATGCACCTGAGTGTTCGACAGATTCTGGCTGCTCCAGCAATTGTTCAGAATTTCTTGGTGGAGGGTGGCGGGGAAAGAAGTTCTGAACCCAAGGGATGTAAAGCGAAAACGCCAAACCAGGCACAACAACACACAGGGCGACTCAACTCTTGATCCATCAAGAACACAAAGTCAACAAAGGGGTCGACAGCTAGGGTGAATTAGAGAGAGAGAGAGAGTGGTATTCTTACGTGCAAGCCCATACGAATCCTACACAAACCAAAGTGTGGACGGGCAATCCGCAGCGAGTCCAAACATGAGACACGCGACCTTTGTAGAAGATAGAGTCCCTCCACGTCCTCAAGCGCCATTGGTTCACCAACAGAGGAGGTGAAGCCACCTCAAGTCAAGGTGATGACTTGTTGGACATTCCACCCATGGGAGAGGCCAAACAGCGGAACCCTGGGCTGAAGGATTTTGCACCCAGACAGTTTTTCCTGACCTTAATCCTTTCTCTCTTGATGAACACCCTGCTTGTAGCTGTTCACTATTGATGCTCGGCGCTTTTTCGTATGTGAGTATCAACGGTTTTTGCATGTGTTGCCCTCACCAGATCGCTGTGGGTCGGTCAATAGGGCCAAGAAAGGCCCAGGGATTCACAGGTTTACCGGTTTGTTCCTGAACCAGTGGGGTTCAGGAGGCTACAGACCTAAACCCAGCGTGCAAACAAATGACACCCAGTACTGTATGCATCCCAAACAGGGAAATAGGATTACAGTACTCGTAGACTTGAGACAAGAATGGGTTGCTTAGATAACTCTTTGGTCGACGAATAGGGAGAGCAACCAAACTCAACGGTTTATGCGAACTGACACATGCAAAAGAGGCTGTTGGCCGTTGGCCATGGCCCTGCCAAGAGTTTACTTCAAGGTCCTTTGACGTACTACCACAACCGCAGCCCGAAGACTGGTGACACTGTACTTGTGGGTGCGACCGATCCTCGGGCAAGAGAAGCAAGGACCATAGACAACTATGCCAAGGAGAGGTCTGACTGGGTGTCCTCATCATTATTTGCTGCTAGCAAACTGTAGATTGCCAAACACTCAATGCCGTGGTAAGCATTGCCGCAGACAGGCATACTCCTCGTACCTTTGTTTTGGTGCCTTCATACGTGTATGTGCCAGTATGTGCATGCAGACGGTATTTGCAGCGGTTGATGGCATGAGACTGACGAGCAGATACGTGATATGCCTCACAAGACTTGGTTCAATGAATGCAGACAGCGACACTTCTATAGTAAGTTGTTGCAAGTCTGCTTAGGGTGCAACAAAAGCGGCAGACTTGGATGGTACATGCATCTACAAGTAGCTGGAAAACATCCCAATCTACGGTTGGATATGGATCATTAGATTGGGAACCCGCTACGTCAAGCAGTGGGTGCGTGAAACAACGCTGGTGCTTTTATTCTTTGGAACAAGGCAAGGCTCTGGCGTAGACCGGGCCCTAGTGTCAAATCGGAAGTGCTTGGCAGGAAAGAACTAGAGGCTTTGCCGTTCAGATCATCCTTGAGGGAAGAGGTACTGCGGCAGCTTCTTGTAACTTGAGCCACGAACAGACTGTTCAGCTCTAGCATTTTATCAATCCTTGACTTTGACTACTCTATGCTGGTCCTGCGTACTCCCAACTTCTCCTAACAAACATGGTTTCTTGCCTTTCAAATCATAGAGCCATTGGTTTGTCCCAGTGATGCTACTTGGTGCAGCAAGCATCCAGCAGCATCCAGTGAAGCAAATTATATACCAAGACTTTGGCCTAAGAATCTTACTCGCCCCATCCTCCCCCACGGCCTAGAAGAACAGAGGTCTAAAGGAAAAAGAGCTCCTAGTAGCGTTCTTGCTCCTAGTAGTAAGGCCAGGAGCCCAGAGTAGCGTCCTTGCTCCTAGTAGTAGGCCAGGAGCCCCTAGTAGCGTCCTTGCTCCTAGTTGCGATGCCAGGAGCCCCTAGTAGCTTCTTGTTCCTAGTTGTTTTAGCCTTTATGGATTTCAGATGTTTGCAGGCGTAAAAGCTTACTGGGAGCCCAAGGCCCCCTTCTTGAAGGTGCTGTCGAGCCGCATTGTGGTCAGTGCTTTGTAAAGGCTCATAGTATGCAAGGATTGCTTATTCACAGCTGTTCGTTTGTGTGCGGTTGTTGTTTTGAATAGGAATCTTCAACAAGGTCTACTCACATGGAGCTTCTGACACACAACCTCAGCGTCTCCTGTTTGCCACTAATTGCTGTACCATTGAGACTGAAGAAGTCGGCCATTGCGCCATTGCTGTGAGAAGATTAGGGGGAAACCTGCTCAATTGTCGTCGTCGTCCTGCCCAAAGAAATTTCCCGTCAAACAACATTGTCGCCAGGCCCGCCTTGGGGTTGGTGCAAAAGTGATTGACATAACCGAATATGTCAAAAGGGATCCAGACATTCAGGCAGGCTGGACAAGATTGCCCCAAGCTGATTGATGTGTGTATGTCCTAGGTCCTGGTCCTAGCCTATCTAGCTGCGCGGACTGAACAAGTGAATATTTTTTAATTTGCTGACAAACAATTGGAAAGCTGTGAGCAACCGCAGGTTTGAATAAAGAAAGAGAGCTATGCAATTGACAATGTCACCTTGGGCTTGCTCATAATAGGATCAATAGAGCTCCACTCAAGGCCACCTGCATGTGTGATGGAACCAGTTGCAACATGTTTCGACCATTTGCCAGCTGGAGGTCAATGTCAGCAAGAAGGGTGATTTGTTGGTGCTTCATGGACCCAACAAGGTGCGCCTCAAATTCAATGGCTTTTGTGGTGCTCGAGTTCTTGTCCACCTGACGTGCGCACCTTGCCCCTTTTTGCCCTGGAGCATTGAGAGTGTTTTTAGATTCGCAATTCCTGGATGGACCGGCCTTAAAGCAATTGTCTCGTGGGGCTTGTCTAAAGCGTGAGCGTGAGGGATTTGGTTCCATGACATCAATTGGCAAGGCCCTCCAAAAGAGATGTGCCCAAACCATTTTGTCGCTGCTGATTCTTTTGCCATGTTAATCATACATTATTCCTTCCGAATCAGTTTCTGGAGGCCATTTCGTTTCCATTGGTATCATCGGTCTGTGCCAGGCACGTGTGGGTACATTGGCCTATCGCTTGCTGAAGAAGTTGCAGCCCAGATTGCAAGTGTACACGGGTAAAGGTGCCGGCAATGAAGGTTGAACAAAATAAGTGTAGTCACAGCTTTGTGACCTGCCTCTAGCAGGAAAAGAGCGACACCGTGGCTGAATGCGTTGTTTGGGGGCATGCAAGGGAAATTAAACACTGAATTCTCCAAGTATACAAGAGGATGAATCTCGAGACATCTTGAGTTTGGTGGAGTCGCCGCGTACAAAATTGACCAATTGCTTTGACACACGACAGTTGATGTTGCACGCATTGTGCATGTGGTTCGACTACAGCAGTTCTTTCTTTCAGCGTGCGGCTTGCATTTGAATCAGATTCAAGCTCTAGTGTTGACACCTCATTTGCTTTGTTTGAAGAAAACTTTGTGACAGACATGAGTTCCATGCTTGCTTTGCAGGTGCTCACTTCGCCTTCCACCCGGCAAAGAGGAAGGTCGTGAGGAAGAAGTAAGCGTCACAAGAAATGTCGTTTCACAAACAGAAGCAAGTTGAGTAAAAGTGGAGATCAGTCAGAGGGCAGTGCTGTGCAGTATGTGATCAAAATGTATGCTTTAACTTCACCCGTCCCCCCGGACGAATGTTCACTGTTTGTGTCGTTTTGAGTTGACAGTTGAACAGTTTGCCTTTAATTTAAATGCATTTACTGTAATTACCGTGACTGTAATTACAGTGTATTGTTCATCCGTTGATGCATTGGATTTTCACTGCTCTAGAGAAGTGCTAGAAAGCTCAAAGCATTGCACTCCATACACATTTAACTATTTGGCTACAAAGTTGGTGCTGGCTGCAGATCGCCTAGAATCCTTACGACAATGTTTCATGCCAACAGTTCCAGCAAGGCAAGCCTCTAAACTCTCTGCATTCACAGATGTTCAGAGTGCAAGCACTCTTTGTTGGAGCGTTCAAACCATTCACTGCTGAGATCCACAGAATGTTTTGCGCTGCCTCAGATTCAATATTTGACAAAATGCCGCTGCATATGGTATGGCATAGCGCTATGCAGCACTGACATTGGCAACAATTAGCATGTTTGGGCCTCAGCAGGTCTTCCAGGGGAGGTTGCCTAAGACTGATGTGGGGTTATAGGATAGGCAGAGTGTATCACTCCCCAAGCGTAGGCCGAGGAACATATTTAGACGTTGTCCGACAATCGTTGTCCCTCAAAAGTTCACCATAGCCCGTAGCTCAGTTACATTGCAGTTCACTTGTTCCCCTCAGCTAAGTGTGGCCATGCAAAAACTGCGATGTTCCCACTCACCTACAGTACATGCTTTGGAGCTTTACCAGATGCTTGTAGGGGATACCAGGATTTGGATTTAACCTCAAAGGTAATTGCAATGTTGGATTACACGTGCCAGCCACTCAGCCACTCAAGATCCTGAGTGGCTGAGTGGCTGGAAGGAGAACAGGCCTGAGTGGTTGAGTGGCTGGCAGGACCTTTTAACTGATTGAGTGGCTGAGTGGCTGACAGTGTAGATCCTGACTAACTGAGTGTGGCTGACAGTGCAGAGCGTGTAGTGGTAGCTGCTGTTAATTACCTGGGGATGTTTTTGGGATGATTTCAATACCACTTTCTTATCTTGTCTAGATTGATCGCACTTTAGACATCATCCTTGACTGCAAGCAATCTCAGGACTGCCTCACATTCTAGATCGACAGGTGCCGCGTCCAGGGCATTGGACTGTGAGTCCAACCAACTCAACTGCGGTGTCGCCCTCGCCCCTCTAGAGATCTGTAGCTGGCCAATGACCAGGCAACATGCAGTCAAGGTGAGTGTCACCTCCCGCATGGAGTAAGTAGCGCGACACAAACAAAACGCATCCATACCATCGTTGTGCGTCACCCAGCGGACCTGCGCATATAGTCGTTGTTGGAATCGTCAAACTGTTGAAGCTCCGTATGCTCAATGGCTCTTAGAGTCTCGGACCGCCCAAGGCCCAAAACAGAGCAAAAAAAAATCGAGAACCGCCCACCTATCGACAACTGCCACATGATTATGATTTGGTCAGACATGAATGAAATAGAAGAACACCAAGAACGGCAGAATCGATGCACCTGAGCAACCGAAGCGCTTGCTTGCTCAGAGAGCTCTCCGCCAGAAGATGCCAGAAGTATTTATTTTGCACTGGCTCCTTCCTCCAGGCGGTGCCTATGTTTGGACGCTCCTCGGCTCGTCAGGGACACAAAAGCTCATCACCAGGGAACGCGTTTGTGGAGATGTGGAGGCTTGTCAGAAGCCCTAATGCCTGACACTGGGTGCCCCTTCCTTTTTTTTTGCTATCCTCGAGGATACCGTGCTGCACCAATGTCTCCAACGCCTTTGCAACCCCGTCGCCCTGTTTTCTCTTCATGCGCCTGCACAACGGAGGATCTTGGAGCAGTTTTTTTCTGTAGTTGCCGGCGTGAAGTTGAGGATCCATTTGAGGATCACCTGTGTCGAGTCCCGGTTCTTTCATTGAAAAGCCAAGAAATACCATTTCATCTCAGCCTCAATCCAAGGACGAGCGACTGCAAGCGACAGGGTTGCTGTGTGCCGAAGATCGTGTGTGCCAAACCAATGGGCTTGTGCACCACATGGCCGGTGTGAACCGCGACCCGGATTGCACAGTCCTGTTGGACATGAAACATTATTTTGATATTCTAGTCACCTTTGCCCTGACAAAGCAGATTTTATGCGGCTTATGATGGTTTATGGATACTCTTGGAGCACCCCGAATTCTGTATATCGCGCTCTGGGGTCCCCTAATGGCTCAAGGGGATCAAGATTTGCAAGCAAAAGCGGTTGAGCAAGGTACAGGAAACACAAAAAAGACAATGCTTCTCTTCAAGATGCAAATACTGTATTTGGAAAGTTGTGGCTTGGCTTGGCCCACCCCCTGCACAGACAGCTTGCACGTGTTGTTCCAAGCTGGCGACGTCCACCTGCAGGTCCTCAGCAGTACATAATTTTTGCATGACATCGGAGTTGTACTGTACGCAATCTTCGGCAGAGCTAGTGGCAGAGCTACAGGAAGAATTCGCAAATGGTGTATATATTTGTAAGAAGATGTTGATCGGTTATGTGGTGGTGAGTGGTGAGGATATATTTGGTGTTTAGTTATATGTCATGAGTCATGAAGTTATGTTCGGTGACTTGCGATGTGGGTGAAGTGTTGGGATGGCCGGGATGGATGGTGTGATGTCGGATGTGTCGTGAGTTGGGATGTTGTGATTACGTGTTGGTTGGGGAGCACGTTGCCAGAGGATTTTTGCCAGCCATGCAGGAACAGTGTGCGCTAACGTGTGCTGTCAAAGAATCCCTTGCCCAGCTTCATCGCCTCAGTTCCATTCTCCAATCGTACCAGCGCAGCTGTTGACATTAAAAAGACATTGACATGTTTGCGCAAAATATTTTTGGCGCGGCGCCCTCTTACCTGCGAACAAATGATTATTGTTTCACATGTTTCTCCTGCACATCCCGTTGGCTCTCCGGTGGGTTCGCAGCGTGTTTGGCGACTCGATTCTACTGTATATGCGGGCATCGATCTAAAGGTCCATGAAAGGAGTTTCATATGGAACAGCCATTTCGGTTACTAAGTACCAACCGGGCGAAAGATCGCGAAAGTTAAACACAGGGTTCGCGAAAGTGATCTTGTTTTTCGCGAAAGTTGATGTAACCATGTATGTTATTTGTAGGTAAAGGGACCCTTATTTGTTTGCTGACTGTTATCTTTTCAGACCACCAGCTCAGAAGGAAATCAGAGTCTTCCTTTAACTACTATATATACCCATGTACCCGAACTTCTTCTGAATATGTAAGATCATACTTCGCGAAAGTTCGCGAAAGTTAAACATGGGGTTCGCGAAAGTAATCTTTTTTTTTCGCGAAGAGGCACTTTCCAGATGAAAGGAATTTGGATCAACCACCATGTGTTTTACAACGAACCTGCGGGCTTAATCAGCAGTTCCAAAGGAAGCGAAGATCATTTACCAGACAACCGCAATGCCAACCACGGATGGCCCCAACGAGCGGCGCGAAACAAGCGCACTTCCACCCACTACAAGAACTCTGTGCCGAGGATGCGGATTGTTTTCTATGCAGAATGGCCAACAAATTGTTTGAGTTGTGAAGACCTGCACGCAGCATGGATTGAACATACTGTCACTGTACATACATACATACATACATAAATACATAAATAAATACATACCTACCTACGTACGCACGTACGCACGCACGTACGCACGTACGTACGTACTTACTTATGTACTTACTTACGTATACTTACTATACATAAATAACACCTGTACAGTGTGCATGTACCATCATGTACCTGTATTCAGGAAACCATGCAAGGCTTCTCCATATGCATTCAAACCATACAGGGATAGCGCAAGGAACAAGATTTGACAAGCGGCGATTTGAGTCGCAAACAGCAGTTTGAATTGCAGAAGTATTAAATGTGTATTAGTTGTTTTTTCGTGTATAACCTTGGGGAAAAAACACATTGTTTTGAACCCATGCGCACCTCGTCTTTGTGATTGTGACCTTTCGGGGGCTTTTTCCGTTCCTTTTGGCGCTCTTGCAGTACACAACTCTGAACAAGAAGGGTCTCAAACTGTTGGTTTCGGTGTTCAGTGTTTACTGTTTGAGTCTCATCACACCTTGAGGTGGCGATGGCACCCATGCTGCAGCAGGCAGATATGTTTGAAGACTACAGTATTCGTCCCAAATTGTTGGTGCCGGCGCAGGCCTTGAGACAATTTGTTCAAACGCTTTATCCAGAATAATCAACTCAATACATGTCACAATTGAGTGGTCGACAGGATGTGTATACTGTAATGAGTTTTTGCTGGTCAGTGCACTTGGTGCAAGGGGGTCCACCTGGCCGACCGAAGGTGTTGTTGGGATGGGGTGAGCTGAGTTAGGAAACTCAGATGTCAATGCGGAGTTGAATCTACAGTAATTGCAGTGTTGCTCAGAATTTGCACAAAAGTTGCAAAGAGTTTGTCACGAAAGGTAGCTTCAGCTACCGGAGTTCTGCTTTCTTGAGCAAAAATGTACAGTACTACAATCTGGAGTTGGGATTATGCATTGGGTTTGGTCCGGTAAGAAGGGATTTTGTTTGACAGGGGGGGCCCCATGGATCAAATCCCCCCTGCGCCGTTGCTGTTTGGGTCACAATCAAGGAGTCAACAGGAGTTCAACAGAGCTTGGACTCGTGTACTGCAAGATCAGCGATGATGCGGTTGCGAATGATTGGCTACCTTTCGTTCACCCCCTCCTATCTCAAGTTTGATGAGTTTTCACCAGGGTATGGTTGCGAAGAACGTTGAGATTGCGGACTGGCTTTGTCACGACCCGAGACATGTGCAGCTGCAGTCAAGTATCTTTATGCTTGGTTGAGATGGAAGATGTTTCCAACACTTGCTGAGCGCACGGCACAAGAATTGAAAGTCGTGTTTTTTTCTTAGGTGCGTAGCGTGGCTGACAGGCACGTGAATTCGTAGTGTGAGAAAACAGAACCCCTTGTTTAGTACTGATTGCCCACAAAAAGTTTGTAGCTTCCATTGGCACAAATCGGCGCATTGATTTTACGATGCTTTGTGCACCCTTTGGGTGCAGTTCAAGCGGTTGGATTGTGTGAAAGTATGACCGCTATCCAGGATGAACTGCCCCGACGCCACAGTGCCATTTCTCCGTTTTGTGGAGGCTAGCAATTGTTGAAGATGAACAATACGGTTTCAGAGTCTTGATTTTCAATACAGTTTCATGTTTGCCGGCGCATTGCTCCCAGGCTTTCTGTTGGTTTACTTTGTACTGTGTGTGAGACTGCCCTGGCTGGTTGCACTTTGAAACAACTTGAGGCCAACATGCACTCAAAGCATGGGTGCCTTACTCTCCATATTGGATCGTTTCATTGATGCAATATAGTGAGAGTCCTTTGCTTGTCATTTGGATTGGCCTTTTGAGATTGCTTAGCAGAAGCAGGCACCTACAATGAGCGCGGATGATGTTGTGAAAACCATGCGGCACCTGGTACAGGACACCGACGGTTAAACGAACAGTCGGTTGTGCTGCTCTTAAGAATGCGAACAGGTATATAAAGCTGTAAAGCTTTACAATAGAGACTATGGTGGGAAGGTGCTCCATAGATCTGTGCAATAAGAGCATAAATGAACATGCATTATGCAATTTCAATGACTAGTAGGAACATTGTTTGCTACTTTGGGCTACTATTGCTGCGGTCTTACATGGGTTTAGAATTTTGTCTTGTAAAGTTGCCAGTGAGAGGCGCAGCCTTGCGAAGAAACATATTGCGCTGCTTACCATTTGGTCAACTAAGACTACCCACTTTCCAAAGCTGGCATGTTTTGTTCACAGTCTACCGTCTCTGTACCTCCCAGTCTCCTCCTGTCGTTTCAGAACTCTAGCGGTGGCCTCCAACCTAAGAGCAAACTGTATTGGACCTTTGTCCTTTTTCGTTTTCACCACCTGCCAGGTGAGGGTTGTTTGTATCAGAGCTCTTCTCCTGGACCACCTGCTCCTCGCCACCTCGACAGCACAGTGGGCACTTCCGGACCTCAACCGCAAGTGCCAGATCGCAGTGGGCACTACCGGACCTCCACGGCAAGCGCCAGATGGCAGTGGGCACTCACTAAAATAACAATCCCAAACGTGAGGGCCCACGAGGAAAGTAGAAAACCACAAGGCTCACGACCATGGCAATATGCTCCCCACCACGGCATGAAAACAAGTGATTGAAGTGTCATGGTGGGGCTCCCTCGAAGTCAAATAATTCTCTGCATCAAACAGATAGCGATGGCCCCCACACCCACCACAGTCAGGAGCGCTGTGCGGACGTGAAGTTGCTAGCAGCGTAACGGGCTTAATTCAGTTCAGCATCAAGTGACCATGCACATTACATCACTTTTTATACGAATGCCGAGTTGCGGCTTTTATTTGTGTGTTCGTGCCTTTGTATGTCTTAAGGATGCTGGACCAGAATAGATGCTGCATGCTGTTCGCCAAGCAATCATGAAGGGCATCCTGTTTTGACTTGTTCTTCTAGTGGTCCCCGCATAGTATAAGACAAGAACCTGGCAACATTCCTCAGTGAGTGCGAGGCTTTCCAAGAGGTTCCACAGCTATGCGGAGGACTTCAATTCTGATGTGCTGTGTGTGTGCATGTGCGGAATCAGATACTGTAAATTGCATCCCAGTCAGTAGAGTGCGGAGCAGCGTGAAACAGCTATAGCAGCTACAGTAACTCTATAAGATAATTTAAGCAGTCACTGGAGCATCCTTGCGTTATGCCACAGGAGTTTTTTCCACCGCAAATTGAGGAGTTGGTAGGCTGGCCGCCAAACAAAAGAGGATGGGATTTCATCATTGATGCTTGATATGTCCATCACCTTTACCGTTCATATGCCTATATGCCTTGCATTCTTGTGCCAGTCAACAGCTCCATCAGCCTGTCGAATTAAAATTGAGTCGTTAATTTGCTAGTGTGCAGTTACAAGTAGTTCTACTGATCAAGCTATACAATCACATGATTGGTATTATATACTGTAACTGTATATACAGTATAAAATATATCATTTATTGACTTCGAGAACTTCTCGGCCTGTTTCTTGCTGGAAGCACAGATGTGACGATTTGACATATTGTTGCCGGATGAGATGTCACTGTGTGTGTGTTCTGAACCAACAAGGAAATGTGGAAGGCATTGTCAAAGGTGTTTTTCTGATAGTATTTTGAATCTGATTGGTGTGCAGGTCATTTTGCTACCCTTGGATACACGGACGCTCACCTACGTCATGGCACGCTAGGCAGAAGGGTTTCAGAAACCAGAGCAGATCCCCAACAGTTTCTTGGCCTTATATGTGCACATACCTGAACAGCAATTGTGTTCCACAGTTTCACCTGAATATTAAATATCTCTGTTGCAGCTACAATAAAGGTACCCGCGTTACGACTTCTTGGATGCGTTGCCTCATCGTCAAGCTGCTTTTTTCATAAGACTCTTTATCGTGTTAAGGTTCGTGCAAGCCTTAGAGTTCTCACTGGCTCCAACTGTTTTGAAAGACGCCTGCATGACCTGTCTTTTTAAGTGCCAGGACGCCTGCAGGATGTCACTTCTGATGCCTCTCCGCGAAGGGTTTTGCACTCAGGAGTCAGGAGGAAAGTATATGAATCTAAGTGGGCAATATTTTAGCAGGACTCCTATCAAGAGGCATCATGCGGCACAATATGTTGTTTGGTTGCACATGTTTGCTGTTTTCAATTCACCTTAACTATTAAACAGAGCTAGTTATTTATATGTTTATTCTATCTTATTCTATTCTGTTTTGTTTGACCCCATCTCATCTCCTGTGAGAACCGTTATTCATGACCATGCAGTTTCAAGGGAACAAGCGGTCACGAATGGGGAGCAAGGGTATGATGTTTTGGTACCAAGAATATAAAATATAATATAAGTATATATGTATGAACATATTACACTGGTACAATATATGGTGCACAGATACGTAGACGGATTTGTTCTTTGTTAGTATTGCTGCAGCTTCATGCTTAACACCAGCACAAACTTATATAAGTTGTGGCATGAATTTAACAGAGTGGGTCCTGTTCTAACAAGCTGTGAACTCAGTCTTTTGGCTGTGTAGTGCTGATAAAACGTATGAAACAAAACCATGGCGCGCGTTTTGCAACCACCACCAGCAACAACAACAACAACGCGTCGATCGGGTGGTTCGGCACGCGCTTAATGATTGAAAACAGCTTGTAAATGGAGCTTCAAGCCTGTTTTTTTGCTGCTCACCGCAGCATTTTCACACTTTCACACGGAGGGTCATGAATTGTCGTTGTCTATCTGAAGAAAGGCATCAGGATGGCATTCCATTTTTCCCATGCGGCATTTTCTTGCCACTGCCATCCCCCCACCCTATTAAAAACACACGACTTATCGATGACAATGATTCCGATGACAAGTTCAAGTTCTATGAATCATTTTGAATCCGATGACAAGTTCTATGAATCCGATGACAAATTCTTTGCATCCGATGGCACGTTCTATGTATCTGATGACAAGTTCATACAAGTTCTATGAATCTGATGGCAAGCAGTATAAGCTACCCACGCTCGGTCACAGTCACAAAACCGTGCGTGCACAATGAAAAAAGACGGCTATCGAAACCAGCTTTTCAAGGGGGTTTAACATTTGTACTCCGCGCCGAACCATCCGATCGGACCCCCCAACAAAGACAAACAAATTCCACAAAGGCACATACGTTTCGGTTCAGACCACTTTGCATTCGTGTTAGGCAGTTTGTGGACACTTGGGCATTACATAACACGTATGATCCACACACTATATACTTGATGAATATGAAACAATTTGTGGTTGCTTTGTCGCTTTTTCCAATCAAAGTCTTATAGGCACGTAAACCATGTCACAAAGAGTCTGGACGAAGCAGTTTGGCAAGTTCCCAAGGTTGTTTCAAAAGTGAGAGAAGGAAACTAGTAGCGATGGCCTTCAACCCAAGAGCGATGGCCTCCAACACCATTGGTTGGACGGTCGAAGGTCTTGTCTTTGCCTGTGTTTGGCTGTGAGTTGAAGATAGGACTTGAAGCACTTGAAACTGGTTGATGTTTTTGTTCTGTCTCTAGATATTTGTTTCCTATTTCCAGCCATGGGGTTTCGGGAAGTCCGAAGTACGAGTCACTTAGAACAAATATAATCAACCAAGGTGTTGCGGCTCATGCGTGCAATGACAACACTTCGTTGGCCAGCCAAGGAACTTCTGTGGGTTTAGGAGTTGCGAGTTGCAGGTTGAGACAAAGAGTGGATGAGCAAACGTCAGTGCGTAGCTCACAAAACATTCTGACTGCAGTGTTGGAAGCATTTTGACTACGGTGGACACCTTAAGTTTTGGTGTCCACTTTAGTCTCGACTCATGGGCATGCGTTTTCACATTGAACAAAGCAAAGCATGCCCAGTAGGCCAATCAAGTCGCATTGGAACTATTGTGATTCCATGAGATCGCTAAAGTAATGTATGACAATATCTATATATATACTGTAAATATGTATATATAATATGCGAATGGAAGTGCAGCGACACGTACAGTGCAACTTGTACATATATATATACCATATGTACTTTGGCTCAAGGATCAAGCGACTAGAAAAGGTGCGGTTTCCGTTCCGACGCTACGCCGCTTATGGACCGTCAGTGATAGCTTCAAACTTCGCTGATTAAGATCCACTCGCAGGTTATCAGCCGTACGCGCTCTTTATAGCCGTACGAGATACACGAGACCAAGAACAAGACTAGTCATTACAGAAACCTGCAATGTCAAGCTCAGGAGGAAATGGAAGCGAACCCTATTCATTCGCTGCTCCTGGTGGTCCCAACACCATTTCGTCACCAGACTCTACAATGGGTACTGATTCATCAGCAAATGCTGACGTTATCACTATGCCTACTGGATCACAAATCTCGGAAAGATCCGTGCCACCGGCTCGGAATCTGACCGATCTTGCGCCCGTAGGACCAAGAAGATCGATGAGAGCTACAACAAGATCTACATCGCCTATAACGTCTACCGCGAGATCCCCAAGAAGGAGTATAGAGAAGAGACGTGACGATGATAGAGGAACAAAAGAGCAAAGAAGAGAGATTCAGCTGGGTGAAGAATTGAGATCGGCGAGAAACGCATACAATTTTCTTCATGAAGAATATGAATGCATCCAAGCCGGGTACTCACGACTACACCACGAGGCTGAAGTGGAGTTCAGGCAAATGTCTGACTACAACAGGAAGATGCAGGAACATTTACAAGAGATGACACAGGAAGATGAAGGAGCAACAATAAGAATTGAAGAGCTCGAACACAAGCTACGCTTGGCGGAATCGACAGCTGAACATATCTACATGAGATATCAAGAGCTTGCACAAGAAACTCATCAAGAACATTCAGAGCTTGAATCTGTGAAAGCAACGAAGGACAGAATGTCCCAAGAGCTTCAAGCAGCAATTGGACACATCCAAGAACAGAATGAATCTTCATTGGCGATCAATAGAAGATCAAAAGCCATTCAGGATGAGAACACAGCCTTCGTCGGAATAGCTGACCAGATACAAGCTAGAATGATTGCGCTACAGGATGAGAATGTCAATATGCACGAGGTGATCCAACACCAGAGAGAAGAACAATGGAACAGTGAGGTCAGGGAAAGACGTCTTCGACACAGTGTTCACTCATCTCAAGATCAGAGCAATCAGGAAGCTATGGTTATTGATCATCTACGAGGTCAGCTGGCTATGGCACGTGGAGCTGAACTCAACGCGAGAGCGGAGATAGGAGAGATGGAAGTGGGCATGAGAATGGAGATGTTTGTATGCCAGACTGAAGTCTCTGCTAGAGAAATGGCAGAAAAGAAGGCGAGCCACCATGAATACGAAGCAAACATCGCAAAGGAGGTTATCGCAAAAGGAGAAATATTCAACAACGAAGTCCTAGAAAGTTCCATCCGTGAACGACAACAATTGAAAGACGTCAACCTCGCTCTATCCGAAGCCAACGCACAGCTGAAAAGAGAGAATATGATGAGAGCTCCTATGTTCGGCGATGATGGTGCTGAAATTCAACAGAAGATCGGAGAACTGGAGAATGCACTATTGGAAAGCCAGAAGGAGACAAAGAATGTCATTATGGAAAATGCGAAATTAAAAGCAGAAGCACGAATGGCACCCATAGTCTCTCGGTACAGCAAGCGTCCTAGTTCCAGAGACCGCGGGTTACCAACCCACGCGTCCGAGGAAGATGAGATTCGGAACGCAAAAGAGGAGGCGAAATACTACAAGGACGGGTACAATGAAATGACAGAGAGCCGAGATGAGATGTATGAATGGTATGCCGAAACCCACAATGAGTACGCCGAGGAAAGGGAGAAATCAATTGAGCTATCCGAGGCGAACAAATCATTGAGGGATAAGATTTCAGAAACAGAAACATCCTCTTCATCTCATCTTGCACCGGCAACCTCTACAATCATGAAAGTATCGAGGAAGGAAGAATCAAAGATAAACGTTCCGTCATGGCCCAGGATCAATGATCTTGGACTATGGAAGGCAAATCTCATTCAATCGATCATCATTGCGGCCAATGATTCAGATCAAGAGCCCTGGATCGACTGGATCAAAGAAGCCATGGACGACCCTGATCCGGACAAGTTTGTCGACTCAGGAGACCAAAGATTCCATTCAATCGATGCTAAACTCGGCCTAGCTCTTACCAAGGTCGTCATGGATGCGAAAGATGATGGTTCAGGTGTAGCTATGAAGTTGAGGACGAGGATCAATGCAAAAGGGAGAACATCAAGCCTCATAAAGGGAAGAGAGGTCCTAGCCCTGATCCTTATGAATTTCAAGACAACATCAAATGTGGAAGTCTTATATACTTCAATGCACCTTTACCAACTAGAATATCAAGGAGACAAGAACTTATCGTTGTTCTTCCACACTTGGGATGAGATTCTGGCAGGGATGAAGCCCGTTGACGTCCCGAGCGACGAAACTCTTCGGGATCTCCTATGGAGAAAGATCAGGAACTCAAACCTCATGGCATACGACATCAGCGCCTACAATAGCATGAACGACGATGATGCCAAGAAGACATACAAACATCTACGTGATATGATCAGAAGGCACATCGAACGGCAAACTGAAGACAGGATGATCCTGGAAAAGGAGAAGGCAGTGAAGAATGTGGCCAATATCTTTCAGAATCTCAAACCAGGCGGACCTGCTCCAAAACTGAAAGCTGCACCAGCTGATCCGAAGAAGAAACCAAAAGGGCAACATGAACAGGTTGTCTCAGAAGACGCTGCTGCAGTGAAGCCGAAACCCAATCCCAAGAAGCATCCTGAAGACAAGAACAAAAAGGGAAAGGGGAAAGGTAAAGGTGATGGAAAGGATCGCAGCCGAAGTCCGAGTGCAGACAAGAAGAAGATACCATGCAAATTCTTCGTGAAAGGTAACTGCACTATGGGGAAAGATTGCCCATTCAGTCACAAGAAACCCAGATCACCATCCAGAGGACCTTCTGTCGGAAAGAATGACAAGCCAGTATGTTGGATGTGGATTCGAGGAACTTGTGACAAAGGGAAGGATTGCAAGTTCTACCATGACCCAAAAGCCTCTCCTAAGAAAGGGATATCTGCACCAGCTGACTCAGGAGACGATAGGCCAAAGCCCAAGGCAAAGCCCAAACCGAAGCCTAAGGCGAAGCCTGGAGCCCCAGCCATTGACGGTGAACTCTTCATGGACGAATCCGAAGATGAAGGGATTGCTGCATCCGCCAAGGCAAGAGAAGGAGGTGCAAAAGTGTCCTTTGATGAAGAGACTTGTGAAATCATGTTGAACGAAGCGATCTACTCAGTCAGGGACAAATGGAAGGTAGTAGAAAAGAAACCTCTACGTCCGGACATTAAACGATACGATGAGAAAGAGCTCACCTGCTACACGAGGAAAGAACAAATCAGATTTGAAGAAAAGGTCGCAGAGGCAAGAGGCATATTGATGGTCCCCTACACTGAGATCAAGAGGGTCCGAATACCAGTTGGACCAAAGGGTGACCTAGCGGTCACTATGTCTTTTGACGAAGATGACGGCCTAGTTTTCCATCATAAAGTCATTCCTCATGTATGCGAGGGAAAGAAGGATCATGCAGACACAAAGACATTGTCTATTCCAGCCAAAGGGTCAAGAACAAAGTTCATCATGGACACAGGATGTGGGTATGATTTGATATCGAAAGGCAGAGCCAAGAAATTAGGTCTGGAAGTGAGAGAAAGCGACCAATCAATGTCATTCTATACCGCAAATGGAGTGACATCCACAAAGGGAGTCGCCGATATTCATTTCGACGAATTTGACTCTACCTACTCCCCATTCGTCCTAGATGAGTCTCCTTCAGTACTGTCTGTTGGAAAGAAATGCATGGAGGAAGGATACACATTCATATGGCCAGCCTGCGGCAACCCGTATATGGTTTCCCCGGACTACAAGAAGATCATGTTAGAAGTAGAGGGAAACATCCCATATATTGTCAAGGGCAGTGACTTCTGTACTCCCACCGACGATACAAGGGCGGAGATGATCGCAAGGTTCACCCTAGGAGAAGATGGAGCCGATTACCAATCGACTTTCATCAATTGTGATGTGGACCCTCAAGGAATCATGTGTGATAATGACGACCTTCCTGTGATTGAGCCTCCAAAAGTCAAAAGGCGAAAGAGGAATAAGAAGTTCAAGGCATCCCCTGGAGAAGAAGATGAGGTAGGATCAGATGTCGCCGGAGACAGTGAACCAGAAGCTGACGATGATGATGCAGATGACATCGAGGTGGATGTTGTTGACGGTGCAAGTAGAATGGTGAGAAGAGGAACTCTGAAAGCAGATGCCAGGAAAATCGAGCATCTACTCACACATCGTTACAAGAATCCCTACTGTGAGTCATGCATCAGAGCAAAGATGAAACACTTCAAGACGCATCGAGGAGCGTTCAAGAGAAAGCTCAAAGCTTTTGGAGATCTGGTTACCTTTGATTTCGTCGATACGAGGAACATCCTTGATCAAGGGATCAGTACTGATCGAGAGATCTTCGTCATTCGTGATAGGTACACAGGCGTCATATGGGCCTATCCGTCGAAAGAGAGGTTTACCAAGGATGTGGCCAATGCAATAAACCACTTCAAAGGATTGAAGAAGATCAAGATTGCTTATGCCGAC